GCCCCCTGAGCTGCCTCCCTGTGCATAGGGCAGTTACTCTTGCCCTGTGTCCATCCCTCCATGCACTCCTGCCCCCTGAGCTGCCTCCCTGTGCAAAGCGCAGTTATTCTTGCCTAGCCTTGTTCCTGTTCAGGTGTCATTGTATCAGTGTTTCACCATCTTTCTGAGGAAAGCTGTAGTCTTTTAAATCAGCAGGCAGAAGGAATTTCATTGCACATGGTGGGTGTTCCATGAAGGAAGGACCATTTTAAAAAGTACTTACTTTCATGATCTTTGCTTGTAGTATTAGGGGGATGGCATTGTTTAGTTTGGATGAATAGAGGATAGTTTTCTAAAGAGAAGAGCTAATAGATGTTTTCTAGCCAGGGGAGGGGGGAGGCGCCATGTAGATGGCAGAGAGAGATGAGGGAGAGGTGACATGTCCCTTTTGGACACCTGGAGTTACAGACTAGTGCTTCAGCCATAGGACTGGAGGTTTTGTTAATCCCTATAGATTAGGAGAGGGTTGATTTTATCCGTTCCGTTCCTCTAGCTTTATGGGTTAATACGTATCTCCCAAAAAGATGTGTTAAAGTCCTAACGCTGTCCTGTGAAAGTGACCTTATTTAGAAATACGGTCCTAGCAGATGTGATCAAGTTTAAATGAGGTCATTACCATCCAGTGTAAGTAGTGTCCTTGTAAGAGGAGGAGGACACAGCGACCCACAAGGAGAATGCCATGGGGTTATGGAAGCAGATATTGGGGAGATGCATGTACAGGCCAAGTAATGCCAATGATCGCTGGCCACACCAGAGGCTGAGAGTAAGGCATGAAACAGACTCTACTCGAAAGCCTTCAGTGGGGGCACAGCTCTGCCAGTCCCTTAATTTCAGACTTCCAGCCTCCAAAACTATGAGAAAACAAATTTCTGTTGTTTAAAGTCATCTACTCAGCTCACTCCCATTGAGTCAATTGCATAGTAACTCATAGTTGATTGAATGGCTACTCATGAGTCAACTCATAGCAACCTCTATTGGGTTTCCAAGACTGTAAATTTTCACAGAAGCAGCCTGCCTCATCTTTCTTCCATGGAGCAGCCGGTGGGTTCAAACCAATGGCCTTAACCACACCACCACCAGAGCTCCTTAAAGTCAGCCACCCAAACCCAACTGCTATCAGGTTGTTTCCAACTCATAGTGACTCCCATTGAGTTTCCAAAGCTGTAAATCTTTTGGAAGTAGATTGCCTCATAGTCCTCTCGTGGAGAAGCTGGTGGGTTTGAACCACCACCTTCTAGTTAGCAGCCAAATGCCTTACCCATTACACCACCAGAGCTCCTTAAAGTCACATAGTAGGCAGTCATTTATGATAGCTGTCCTAGGAAACTAATACAGGGCCTGAGGCTGCTCATGAACTTGAACTTGCTCTGGGATTGTAGAGCAGTGAGTAGACCTCCAGGTGGACAGCGGTTTCTAAGTAGTAGTAGCTTCTCCAGTTGTCAAGTACTTTATCATTTTCATGCTTAAGAACTTGGGATTCCTCTATGCCAGGTCACATTCAACAGCTTCTGCTCAGAACTCAAGGCACGTTATCCAAGGCCTTCAACAACAAGAAAACAAAGATAAACGGACTCAGGGACAACCCCACATGTGTCGGAGTACAACTGTGCTCCATAGGGAGCACTGACTGATGGTTCAGAAGTAGAGCGCCAGCCTTCCCTTCCAGGCACTTTGGGTGGACTTGAGCCCTCACCCTTTAAATTAGCAGCCAGACACATTAGCCATTTGTACCACCAGGGTCTCTGTGGCCTTCATCAGCCTCTCCTTACTTTTAGCCAGATTGAAGGAGCCCTGGTGGTACAGTGATTAAGCGCTCGACTCTAACCACAAGGTTGGAGGTTTGAACCCACCCAATGACTACCTGGGAGAAAGACCTGACAGTTTATTCCCAGAGAGATCACAGCCATGCAAGCCCTATGAGGCAGTTCTCTCCTGTCGTACAGGGTCATTATGAGGCTTGATGGCACCTCATGGCAACTCCCTCCCCTGCTCCATCTCTGCCATCACCACCATCATGTATTTCAAGGAGGTCATCTCCATCCTCCAGGAGCTCTTCTCCGTATTAGAACACTTAAATGCATTTTTTTCCCCACTTTTTCTTATTTGTCCTCAGTTGTCTTGGCAGGCTTTCAGGGTTGACCAAGAACATGGTTCTTTTCTCCTTTGACAAGTGAGCATGCTAAAGCTAAAGAATTGACTGACTAGCTGTCTTGATAAACATACAAAGTAACATTTTGAAGTAATCATAGCTTATTCCCACCTGTACAGGTATAATTTGTGTTTTTAAGAATATCGAGGCCTTCTGAGGGAAGGTACCATTTATTATTTGGTCAAATGACTAGTACTTGGCTGACAGCATGGTAAGGGCCTCATACACATGGTTTAATTTTCTGTATTAGAGAAAGGAACAAAATTACGCTGTAGAAGAGACACGTACGTCTTGGAGTATTTAAGCCAAATCGTTCCTTTCTGTTGCTGGTGGCTGCTTGTCTGCTGTGCCCCTCAGAAGGTCAGGGTATCTTGTGACTATGTCATGCAGTGAAATATGGCTGTAATTGGAAGGCAATTAACAGCTCTTACCCACACCCATCATTGAGTCGGTTCCAGCTCATGGCAACTCTGTGTCACAAAGTAGAACTGCTCTGATCTTTACAGAAGCAGATTGCCAGGCCTTCCTCAGCACTGCTGGGTGGTTCAAACCTCCATCCTCTTGATTAGCAGTGAGGTGGAAACCCAGGCTCTACCCATGGACGCTTCTTTCCTCGAAATTGGCCGCTTTCCTAATTTGCAGAGGAATCCTGGAGACCATGTCATCCACAAGGACCTCTGCAATGGGTTCATAAGACTTGGATGGTTGACGTGGATGTGCGTGAGACTAAATCCAGCCATTGTGTCAGAAATTAATTGTAAATCAAATTAGGTATTTCTGAACTCAAAGATGTTTGATAAAGTGAACTTTTCATGAGTTTGCACTTGATGTCTTTAAAAAATATGCTTTTAAGAGAAGTTGATTGTTGGCCAAGTGAGTAGCTGATTGGTTGGTCTGTTGGTTTTGTGATGTCCTGTCATGTTTTCTCTGTGAATGTCATGGTTTTTTTTATTTGAACACAGAGTTTTCTTACTCCATTAGAAAACTTCAGTCCTCATTTTGAGATTCTCTAAGAGACTGTTGCCCAGGTCTCCCCAGGGACCACCTCAGGAACCTTCTTCTGTACCTTTTGGCACTTTTATTTTTCTTTGATTTCATACTCATGGCACTTACATTTAAAGACCATTTTTTGCCTTTTTCTCCATTTTAAACTCTTCTCTTTCCAGGCCTAGTCTCATCATCTTTATTTAGCAATTTTGGATTCATAGCAATGCTTGGTAAAGACTGGACTCGTATGTGGGATTCTTGAAAATTCACTTCAAGCTATAAGCTTGATTGTAAAGTCCTTAGAAGCATGTTCTGGGGCTTGTTTGCTGGGTGTCCATGGTCCTGCAGTGGAATGTTGCTAAGTCTTCATTGAATGATGTCTTGCATCAAGACTCTGGGAACCAGTAGACCACAGAGGCCTCAGAATATCTTGTAGTGCTCAGGAAGAGGTGAAGAATTCAAAATAATTTCTAGACACAGAATGGGTATGGTAACTTCTCCCCATTCTCAACTTTTGGGAATTCAGAATGTATAGTTGAAATAGCATTCTGAGGTTGAAAAAATAGTATCTCAGTTTCATGATAATTAGGATTTTTGGGGAAAAGTTGCATGTGTAGGATCTTGTAACGGGAGGAGCATGGGACCATGAGTCATGACACTGGGTGGCTAGTTCCAGCTCTTGGAGTCCCTGGGTGGTGAAAACGGTTAACACACTCTGCCAACAAAATGTTGGTGGTTCAAGGCCATCCAGAGACACCTCAGAAGAAGGGTCTGGTGATTGCTTCTGAAAAGCCAGCCACTGAGAACTCTTTGGAACATGATTCTATTCTGATACATGTGAGGTCACCATGAATTGGAATCAACTCAATGACAAACGTACTACTCTCAAGTCTGTCTGAATGATTGATCTGGAAGGTCAACTTTGCATTTTGTAGTTTCAGTTATTGTATCTCTAAAATGAATTGTTGGCCTAGTTGAATTCTCTCCAAGGTTCCTTTCCCCATTCCATGTCTCTCTGTGTGTTGTTTTCCTACTCTAGAATTAATTTTAGCTATAGCATTTCAGTTTTTTAATGATGCTTTTTTTTTAGGTAGCAACACATGTCTGTCTCTTCCTCCTCTGTCAAAATTGGCCTGGTAATAAACAATCAAGTGGAATGGAATGGGAAGTACCACTAGCATTTATTGAATAGCACTGTGTGAGCTAGACGTTGTTGGGTAGAGCACTAGTGTAAGATGGACAGAATGCTTCCAAAGGAAAAAAAAAGTGGGGCCAGGAAGCCAGTGGTTGTCTAAACATAATTGAGCTGTTTCTCTTGGAAGTTCACGTTCTGCCATAGCAGAGGTTTCAGCCCTTCAGCTGTAGGGAATTTGCCGGTGTGAGCCATTCCTCATGCTTTTGTTATCTGTTTGCATTTTCAGGACAACAGTAGTAGCAGCAGCTGCCTTCTTGGACGCCTTTCAGAAAGTAGCTGACATGGCTACCAACACACGTGGTAAGCAGATGGAGGGATGGTTTCCAGCCCTAAGCGAATGCAGCATGTGGGCTCCCACCCTGGGGTGCCTTCACAAGGAGGTGTGGCTTCAGAACTGAGCTTATTCGAGCGTTTTGTTTTTTAACCTTTGTGGGATTCCATGTCTGAGATGTTCCCTACAGCCCTCCAGATAACAGATCACACGTACAGAAGAATGAAAAATGAAGGCAAGGAACCACTGTTCAGGTGTGGTTGAGGTGGCTTGATGTGTTTTTTTTTTTATCACTCCCCCTCACCCCATTTCATATTTTTTCCTTCTAATTGACAAGATAACACATTTTCAGGTCTTTATAAGTATATCACCACATAAAGATATTCCAGAAAGTACAGTTCTTTTTAGTAACTGTGATAATTTTTTTTTTTAATTGTGGGGTTTGATAAGTTTCAATGACATGCTGGATGAAGAACTCTGAGCTTTGCGCTGGGTTGCAGTTTGGTTTTTCCTCCTCACTTGGGCTATCCTAAGGTTTTCCTTGTTGCCCTGTGGAATGGGGAACAGTGGAGATTACTGGATACACCGTTTATATGGATCCCCATGAAACGAGGTACCCTTTTATAGTAAGTACAATATTCCATTGTATTCTGTCTGCTTTTGTGCCTCCTACATTTGATGAAAACGCCTTGAGGTAGAGTCTGTGACTTCTTCCGGTCTGAACCCCTCAAACTATAGTGGCTCAGACATAGTAGATCTTTAAAGTATGTTTAACAATGAAGTGAACAAGGGGAAATATTTTGAAAACGGTTAATAGTTTCAGTGAATCCTGAATCACACAAAAGAATATTTGTAATATGGGGAAGGGATAGGGAAGATATCCTGGACCCACCACCATCTTTAAAAATACAGCATATACCAGTACTTAGGGGCCTCTGTTCCAAGTGGGGTGTTTTCCTTTTCATTCCAAAGCAGAGACTCTCTCCTGCCTCTTACTTTGCCTTATTTTTCCAGATCTTCTCATTGCATAGCCAGCAGCTACATGCCTGTTGTCTTTATTTTCATGGTGACATTGGGAAATGTGGCGGGAAGGTTTCTGTTTCTCTGAATCATGTGAAGGGTACCTCTGGTGGGTTTCAGTCGGTACCCAGTTACCATAGGTGCCCAATGAAATACTTGAATGAATATGCAGTGAAGAGACTTCTCATTCATTTGTCAATTACATCACCTCCAAACCCTGCCCTTCCTCCATCACCACCATAGAAGGGCAATTCCAGTTTCTTTTCCCACAAACTTGCTCTGTTTTTCCTCCCTTCAATCCATCAGAACTTCCAGGCCCTCAAGGAGCATGCTCCTTGTTTTAAAAAATTAAAATAATGAAGTATAGGAAGTAAAATCCATCTCCATCCCTCCCAGCATGTCTTCAGAGACCGGGTTCAAGAAACTCAGAAACTGCTCTTATTTCAGGCACTGTGTTGGGACCACAAACATGAGTACGTTACTCTCTTGGCCCTGGAAGAACTTACTGTTGAGTGGGGAAACGAGATGTTTAAATAAAGAATTTCAATCTAGAAATCGTATGTGTGGTATAGTAATGATGGGAGAACAAAGTGCTGTGGGAGCAGAGAAGAATGAGCCGGTGACACAGCCTGCGGAGTCGTGGAACTCTCCTGAGAGGGAGGTGATATTTCTCCTCAACCCCAAGATGCCAGCCGTGTTCCGGAAGGTACCCTAGGAGAATGTGGTGGCGATAGCAGTGCTCTTTTTCCTTCCTCCAGCTTATCAACTGTATGTGGGTCTTGACCAGTGACTTTCTTTAAGCCTTTGTTTCCTGATGATTACATAGCTTACACAGTGAAACCTGTGAATGCCAGAACTTGACGGGGACTGCCTTGCTTTTCCAGGTCTCGTAAGTTTTTCACCTTTGACAGGGTGCAGTCTTACTATGTTTTTTTTTTCCAAACTTTTTCTTGGGGTTTGGGTGAAAGTTTACAGGGCAGATTAGTTTGCCATTCAGTTCACATACACTTTGTTCTGTGACGTGGTTGCAGTCCCCATTTCCCATGTGTTCCTCCTTCCTGCCCCCTTTTGCCTCCTGAGCTTTGTTTCCTGGGCAAAGGCGGCCCTTTGGCCTGGTCTGGTTGATTGTTCTGAGGAGTACGTTCCTCCCAAGTGTTACCGTTTGGCTGAAATGGGGTCCCTTGGAAGGTGGGTTCAGTTCCAGGCTTGAAGAATGTCTAAGGGCACGGTCTTGAGGGTTCTACCAGTCTCTGTCAGACCTGTAAGTCTGGTCTTTTTATGATTTTGAATTTTGTTGGACATTTTTCTCCCCCTCTGCCCAGGACCTTCTATTGTGATCTCGATCAGAGCAGAGTGGCAGCTGGGTGCTGTCCACTTTTTCTGCTTCGTGTCTTACCACTTTATCACTCATTTAGGTGGAAGACATTGTTCTTTCTCTAACAAGTTTCTACCTTACACAGGTTCCAGCTTTCACAGGCTTTACTGTATGGGTTCATTAGAGAAACTTTAGAAAGCATTAGCCGAAGACAAACATGCAGGGCAAGCCAGTGATCACCGTGGCTGAGAAGACCAGGTCTATTTCACGTTGTCAGTATTTTCTTCTACTTCACAGTGTCTGGAACTGGACTTGTTAGCCATATCAGTGTGTTTCTATAATGAAAACCTGTTGCCAATGAGTTGATTCCAACCCATAGCAACCCTATAGGATAGGGTAGAACTGCCTCATAGGGTTTTATTTTTTCTTCTTCTTTCTGGTGGCACAGTGCCTACAGCATTTGACTGCTAACCAGAAGGCTGGCAGTTCAAACCCACCAACCACTCTTTGGAAGGAAGGTTGGACAATCTACTTCTGTAGGGATACTGCCTCAGAAACCCAAGGAAGGGTCGCTATGAGTTGAATCGACTCTATAGCAGTGAGTTTGGTTTTGGTTTGGTTTTTTAAAAAAAATAGATATCCTTTCATTAAGCCTTAGACAGAACAAAGGCAAAGACAGTCATTCAGATGAGGGCAACTGTTAGTGTGTACATGGCATGCACACTGATAAAATACCACCCTAGGTTTGCAAGAGTATAACTCTTCACAGAAGGAGACTGCCACGTCTTTCTCACGGGCGGCTGGTGGGTTTAAACCACCAACTTTTCAGTTAGCAGCTGAGTACTTAATCACCGTGCCCCCGAGCTCCTTGTTTCTAGACTAGCCATTGAATTTTTTATTTTGCTCTGCTGTTTTAAAGAATGGAGATATCTTGCATTGCAGTTTTGACTCATAATGCATGTATATTTTTCTGTGATTCGTAGTATATTTCTCTATTTTAGTGTTTAGTTGTCGGATGAGACCTGAGGGATGGAATGGAAAGGTACCCCGATTGTCCATAATGTCCTGCAGTGGGAACCTGGATGTTTGCAGAGGCCCATCCCCTGAGGAGTTTCTGGTGGGAAACTCGAGGGCCTGGAAGTTCTCATGGATTGAAGGGAGGAAAAACAGAGCAGTTATTTGTGGGAAAAGAAACCGGAATTACCCCTTTGTGGTCATGATGGAGGAAGAGTGAGGGTTTAGAGGTGATACATTTCACAAAAGACAAGTAATGTCCCAGGGAACAGACTACAGCTTTGATAGGTTTTAGACTGTTTGTTTTTAGGTCAATCTTAATGGTACCAGAATACTTTCTGTTTAGAATCTATATGCACTTGTGAGAGAAAACTGTCTTTGAGTGATGGGAGTGTGAGAACTCTCATATAAGCTGAAACATGTTTTTGATAGAATTTAGCTTGATTTATTCTAGGTTGATAGAAAGAGGGATATTTTATGGGAGTGATAAGCTAAAGTTGAAGGCACTTTTTGTATGCTCAGTATGTGTCAGAAATGATTTTTGTTGTTGACTTTTATTACTAATTTCTACTTACAAATAGAAAAATAAAGAACATGCTCCTTATTTTAAAAAATTCAAATAATGACGTATAGGAAGTGAAACCTGTCCCCACCCTTCCCAGTATGCCTTCAGGGATCAGATTTAGTGTTATTTATAGACTTTTTTTTTTTTTTGTAATACGTAGATAAGACATGCCTGGGAGGAAGAAAGCTAGTTGCAGAATGATATGTAGAGTGTATGTAGATTAAAATATATAAGTATGATCTTTTTCAAAAGGTAGGCCCTAAGAAATGTTCCTGGGTTTTTGTTCCACAGTGTATTAGACGTATCTTTCCATGTCAGTACCTGTCGAGAGACCTCATTGTTTCAAGTGGCCGCATGGAATTCCACTATGTGGATACAATCAGCTTCATCATTCTTTTGTGGGTAAATACTTAGGTCGTCTTGAGTTATCTGCTGCTAAAAGCTGTGACACAGTCAGTGCCCGTGTGTACACCCTTTTGGAGATTTACAAGTAATCTATTTTTAATGGTGTGTGAATCACCAAGGAAATGATGAATCTGTAGAAAAGGCTTCAAGCTGTTTTGATCAGCAAATATTTTGGGGCTTAAGGTCATCACAGGCTGTAGCTTTAATACAGTTTGAAATGTGCAGTCTCCCCTGTCCAGAAAAAAGCATGTTTTGTCCGGTGTCTTGCCTCTGTAAGAGATGTATTTTCCAAGTCGCTTTTTTTCTGGAAACCGTAGAAGGAAATTGGAGTTATTGTTAAGTGCATCTCTTTTGGGCAGCTGTCCAGAATTTTCAAGCTAGCAGGTCTCTGGCTTCCAAAATATTAGCATTTCATATTGTTTCCGGAAGGAAACAGCTCAGAGAGGTCTTTGTCCTTTTTAGCAAATATTTTGCATCATCTATTAATAAAATGTAATTAAGTAGGGAAAACTTTTATAATTAGTCACTAAGGAAACAAATGAATCTAGCCATTATATGCCTGTTGTTAAATACAGTATAGAAATATGTTAGAACTCGATTTCATTCATTTTGTTAAAAAAAAAAAAAAAGAAAGAAAATTATTGTGAAATATATATAACAAAATTTGCCATTTTAACCATTGGTAAGTGTGATTTGGTGATATTAATGAC